TTTAATATTATAGAGATTCCTTATAAAGATTACCATAAAAAAAAACTGGTCCAAAGTTCAGCACATGAATAGGCAAAATTATTGTTGGCAACAAGTCAGTTGCATACACGCTGTATGCTTCAATCTTCATGGGGTGGTACTCGAAGTTGTGAAACTTGCACCTCAATGATCAAATTGGGCACCTGTGCAGGGATGGAACCCCTTTTAAGTCAGGGGCTGCCACCCTTCAAAGTTTTAAAATACTATAATCTTTAGACAATTGTCCTCAGCAAATAGTAAATATAATTTATCATTTTATTTATTAATTTGCATTCCAAAAATATCCTTACAACTAAAATTTATTCTGGAGGCGCTACCACCGAAAACTCTTGCAGGGGTGCTGCCCCTTGACTCAACAATCTGACCGGGCAGGTCAAACTCCGCCAAGGGTAGCTACCCCCTTGGATCTCCGATATATCTGTGAAGCATATGACGATTGAGATTATGAATAAATAGGGGTCGTTATTGACCTATTTTCTTGTAGTGAGGGATTGAGCCAAATCTAAAAAACACCAACAAATACTTATAAATTTATCCCCTAAAAAATAAGACTTATTCTTCCCTGCACCTATGCATCACATGAGATACTAATCGCTCTGTCAAAACTCCAAAAATGTCGGTTTGAAATTTTTTTTATAGAGGGATAGTTTGGAATATTTTGGATATTTTGTCCCCTTTAAAAAACATTTTTACTCTCATTTTATCAATTCTAAGCATCTTTGTCCATCTCCTACAAAAAAAAAAAATTATTTATCTTGAAAAAAAGAAGCCGGATTCGCCCTGATTTGATTTGAGGTAATTAAGGGCTTAAGTCGGGACTAGGGCCTGGGCTCCGGACACTAAGGCCTAGGCTCCGTGACATCACAAAATCTCCTGAACGTGCGTTCTTTGCTTGAGTGGCGCCGGATTTGCTGCTGCTTCGTGACATGCACCTGAAATCCACTAAAATGAGTGTTTGTGCACATCAAAAAATATATTTGAATTAATATAGTGGAATTCTTCAATTGAAGCAAAAATAATATATAAAATCAAAGATCTAACCCCAAAAAAAAAATTACTAAAATAACACCTATTAAAATCCATCATGTATTGTTAATGTCTCTATTTTATATCGATTGTTTCCTCAATTATAGGGAATGAACTATTTGTAACATATGCATATGATAGTAAAATTGTAACACCCTACGATACCCATTATCAGTAACATAGAGTGCCACAAAATTGAGCAAATATTTATTCTTTTCGTTTAAAATTTCACATCATTTGCATATTCATATAAAAATATTCAATGACAATTATATTTAATGAATAAATAGAAGCATCTAGTAATTTTATTTACGTCAGATATATACTTACAGAGCCACTAAAAATTTCAAAAGATAGCTTACATACTTAATAAGAAGACATCACAAACACTTTTAAACAAAAAAAAATAAGTTTTCAATACTTGCCTTATCAGTCTCAACTTTATCTTTTCTCTTCCCTGTAACAACGCGAGTATATAAAAAAAAATTGTGAGCTATGAGGCATATAAAGTCGTTCTGCTTCTTACTCTACCAAGAAATGACTCTCCTCAATGATACTAATCTCTCACAGCCACCGTTCTCACACATATATTTCTCTCAATTAACTTATGTTTCTACTCACAAGATCCACAAGCCATGCTTCCCACTTCCTTCTACACATATGACCGAACTCCTCCGAACAGTCGATCAGTTCTTCACAGCACTGTGTCTATTCATGCACCACTACAGAAAAATCATCCATTACCGACGGATTTTACGAAAAAATCAACTGATAATAGGCGATTTTTCTGTAGTGCACTATGTCGTGTATTATAGGAAAATCATACATTACCAAAAGATTTTTCAGGAGAAAATTATAAATTTTTGGTGGATTTGAAAGCTTTATGGCAGATGTCCGGTGAAATAAATTTTGATGGTAAAATGTGCGTGGCAAAAATTTTCCATTGAACAAAAACCAATTTTCCGACTGAAAAAGACTGTCAGAATAACTAAAAAAATTAATAAAATAAAAAACAGAGATCACCAGGCCTCATGCACGTAATGCCCGCCAGCAAAAGCTACCATGCCTGCCCTTGCTGTGATTCAAATTCAAGACCTGCTCGGTCTTAAGATGTCAACCACTCTGCTGGTGTAAAATGTGTTAAATAATTAACTTTTTTATATTTAAATAAATTAATTTCATAATAAAAAATTAACAAAAATTAAAATAAGTTATTAATATTAATATTAAATTAGTTAATAAAATGAAAAGTTAAATTTTTAAATAAATAAGTTAAAGTTAATAATAATAATAATAATAATAACATTAAAGTTATTAATAGAATAATAAGTTAAAGTTATTAATAAATAATTAAAATAATTATTACTTTAACAGCTTAATTTTAATTATTTAAAGTTATAAAATTAATAATTAATAAAAATAGGCTATAAAATTATTAATTAATGAAATTATAAATATTTTTCTTTCAGAAATTATTAAAAATACTTCGGAAACAAATTCGCCAGAAAGCAGCCGAAAAATATTCCTGAAAATCAATTGAAAATATTTAATCTTTATCACTTGGAAAGCCGCCATAAAATCTGCTAGAAATTAGTGATTTTCCTACAGTGGTGCACTGCTACAATCCTATAAAATTTTCAATATCTAATATTTACTTAACAGAAACTTTTGGATATTATAGAAATAATTTTAACTATCTCAAGTCTTGTGATTTTTTTTTGTTGAGTTTTATACATAATTTTTTTTACTGTGTTTTAACCATTTTTTTCTCTATGCGTGTTGAATCATTGTTCAAAACTAAAACGTTAAACTCTCTCATTCCACTATCACGAATATCCTAGCACACTATAGCTTTTTAACAGGTAGACCTGAAATTTATTGTATTTGCTTTAAGATGAGTGGAATTCAAGTTCTTTATGCATAATATTAATCTCAAAATAAATTTAATGTTTTTAAAATCAATCATGACCAATATATGTATATATATATAATAGAAATAAGATTGTTTTGCATGGTGGGAAAATAAAATATATTGTTTAGTTTGAAGATATAAGAATGATAGTGAGAATCTGCTCTCTCATGCATGCTATGTTGATATGTTAGTTAAAAGTTTTAACTATCAACAAAGAAATTTTGAGTTCAAAGTTTATATATGTGATGTATATGTAAATTTATCTTAATTGATTTAAATCCCAAAAAAAAAAAATCTTCTTTCTCCATTCAACTGCAGCTTTAAATTTTCAATTACCAAAAACTTTGGCTTCTAGTATTTTGTTACTAGCATTTTTTTTTTTTGAGAAAATTTTGGGGCTAAGCCAGTATATTAATCAAAAGCAATTACAGAATAACAGGTCAAAAAACCGAGACCAAAGCAAAACAGAACAAGGGAACTGAACAAATGACAAGAGAAGAAAGAGACAAAAACCAACATTACATACAGATCACCACAAAAATATAAAAGTACAAAAAATAGTTGTGCAAACTAAAAAATGCTTCAATAGTAGTTAAATTATTCTGTGCGGAGGTCGGACGCAGAACGCCGTCCGAAGACCAATTAGAATACGCCACGTTAGTGGTATCGAGCTGCGGTACCGAGCAATACCGAGCGAAGAGGCGACGTGACGCATTCTAATTAGTCTCCGCACATAATAATTAATCCCAATATTGTTTACCATGATAAGAAGGATGATTAGACGTGTAATGCCAAAACTTTCCAAGGTTTTGAATAACTATAAGGTATTAAACTGAGCTGATCAGTACAAATCAGATGGAATCAATCCATTCTTTATGATTCACTGAAATCAGATTCTATCCAACACTTTTAAACGTGAGATAATTGTGAGAAAGTTTGAAACTGGCCAAAATCCAAATTTTAACTATTGATAATGGTTGTAGATTCTTTGAATTATTGCTCTCCAAATTGTATAGATGCATTTTATCATTGCCTTTGTACTTTTCTTATGGGGGAAACTGGAGATGAAAGACAAATTATAGGTCCTACGAGGCTACGATGCACTGAATTAGTTGATATAATATGCTCACTTGTAAATCGTTTCAGTTTTGACATCTTGCAATGACTACTCTTGGCTTAATTTTGGCATCTGGCAGCTTAATAGTGAATCCCTGACATCTTAGACTTTACTAAAGAAATAATAAGTCTGTAAATAGATGCCAGCTATTTGATTTAGGCTTCGTTTCTTATGGCTTTTTTATTGAATCTTAAAACAATTTTAAAGTACAAAAATTTTAACTTTTGTACTAAAAACTACTTTAAGAAGCAGTAAAAAAACCGTCCCAAACGAAGCCTTAATTTTCTGTTATTATCGACAACAACGTTGTAAATAATGCGAACTATTTTTATGACATATTTGACTTCATTATGATAATAAATGACAATAATCATTTATTATAAAAGACTATAATTTTTTTCAGTAATATAATATTGGCCCAAACAAATGAATTTGATAAATAACATTATTATTTCAATAATAATTATCTAATTAACGTTGCTATCAAGATAATAATGAATCCAATCAGTATAGATTTCCTACCCATGCAGTCATTTCTTCAGGAATTTTTTTATGAATTTTAACAGATAACTGTGCCTGTCTAATCTAAGATTTATTCACCCAAAAAGCCAATTGGAAGCAAATGGAAGAGAAGGATAGCACAATGGTTTAGAGGTCTAATCATTATAAAAAGCAAGATTTTGTTCGCTGTTATCATATTTGATATGAATATTTAACATATTAAAAAGAACCTTCAGCTTATCTGGAGTGTCATCAGAACCTGAAGGCTGGAGGATCCTATAATACATAGCTATGAGGTAATATGAACTCTATTTCCTCAATGATAAGGTTTTATTCTTGGAGAAAAAAAATGGAGAGAATAAAATATTCTTATCAAACAACCAAAGAACCAAAATTAATAGAAAATTATGAAATAGAGAATCAGATTATTTGCAAACCAAAGTAACTGAAGTCTGATTACTTAAATTCTAGCAGAAGATCCTCAATTATTTGCAAACCAAATGGTTGGTTGATTATCTTGGCAAATATTAACACAAGCTCTCGAAATTTTACAAAGTTGATCAAACAAGCTACTTTTGATTTCATAATGATCCTGACCTCTCAGATTGGAGACATTGTTGCAGTGCTGAAAAATCAGAGAACTCTCAGCTTGAGGTCAGGATATCCAGCTTTAGCTTTGTTCCTTTCAAAGAGATCTTCCATAGCCGAAATAAACTGTTCTTGCACTTCATTTATCTATCAGCAAGCAAAAAATGCATATGAAATTCTGGAACTGTTTTGTTAGAGATTAAATTAACACAATTGAGATTAGTAATTCTAAAAGTTAAGTATTATATAAGGAAAAATTTAATATTTGATTAATTTAACGTTCTGTTTGGTATGTATGAGATTCTCAACTTGGAGCGATAATGGATTAAAGAAATAATCCCAAGACTCTCTTTTTCATGATATTTCTATGATAAAAGTTACACTATTTGTAATGAAGGTGGTAGACATGCAAGGAAGAAAACATACTTCTATTTTAGGAAAGAAATAATGTTGTATAAATACATTAAAATAATATAAATTATTCCGAAATTCATGACCGGTCGAAAGGAATCTCTTTCTTTGTAATGATTCTGATTCTGAAGAATCATGCATAAATGCTCAGTTTAACAAAAGCTAATCCAGGGAATATCGTCGATTATGATAACTAGAATAATCAGACAGACATGATGAGTTAATCTGGATTTTTGAATATTAATCCTCATAATAAGCTGAATCAAACACCAAATTATTTCCAAACCAAACAACACATCACCTAGTAGTTGATTCATCACTAGGACATAATACTAAAGCCATCACTGTACATCCAAATATCAAAAAAACCTGATTCAAGTTGAGTCGAATCCAATTCATGATTAATCAAGTCGGTTCAAATCAAATTAATTCGATCTATTTAGTTTCATATTCGTTGGTTAATCAGGGAACTCACCTTAAACAAGAAGCTATGAGCAAGGAACTCATCCCAATAGGAGAATAAAACGTAGCAACTGTTATCTATGCATTCAACCTTGATGATTACTGGAGGGATAACTTCTCAAGGAAAACTATTGATTAACTAGGCTAAATGACTATCAATATATACTAAGTCGATGCATCCTCAAAGCTCAACAGACGATTTTATCAGGTTGGATCATCTAATCAAGACACAATTGTTGAGATTTCTCTTATTTTCTAAATCGCAATGTACGTAGCTAATTTTGTAACACTCAAGCTTTGATAATTATCTATTAAATAATCATATTTATTATTCATCTTATTTAAAGGTAATATTTAGTATTCGCATATCAAGATTCATACCCAATATTCATCTAATTTGAAGACAACAGTTAGCATGTGTGCCTATCAATATTCATATATGATATTTGTCTTATTCAATGTGATTATGAAGTTATATTTAGTATTTAATAATGATTTCATTTGGTATTTGGAATTCTTTTATTTTATAATGATTGCATTATAGTTGATATTTGTTCTCTGAAGTAAGGGAGATTTGTAATCGATATTTGGTACTTGACATTTCATATTCACCATTAAAATTTTTGTATTTAAAATTCATTCACAAAGTAATTAAAAAAAAAAAAAACTCGGACAAAAAATAAATTTATACAAGTGAAATTTTATTGCTTATAACTTTTTACAAGTATAGAAGTAAACTAAAAAAAGAGAAGAAAAACTACAAATTATTCGTCAATTGCTTGTTGAACTCTCTTCGTCACTGCCTTCTTCACTGGTCTCGGCTCTGCTATCAAAGCTTGGAAAGCATCCTTATTATTGTACTTAATTTGAAGTGATTCTTTCTCCACAAGCTTATTAAGATAGTTCACACCTTCGATGAAGACAGGACTCCTTGGAATTCGGGTATTTTGGTGAGAATCTTAAAGAAATTGCCGGCCGATATCAATGTTTTTTTTTTTTTATCTCATGCATCAGCCTAACTTAATCCTCGAGCTTTGGTTATTTCTGAATGGACAATTTCCAAATCTTGTCTTCTCCTTTCAGCCATGGAAGTTGCCATGACAAGTGTTGTATCTTTGCGATAGATCTCATCCTTCAACTTTTCAATCGACAACTTTTTTTCTTTTTTTCTCATCATTCAGCAACTTGCACGAGTCGGCGACCATTCTCTAAACCTTTTATTGTGGCATTTTGCCTTGCTAAATGATAAAGCATCTTCTTGTAATTATTCATCATTATGTAGTTGAGTAGTTCACATTATGTAGTTGAACTGATAGCTAGTTGCATTCACCTTTAACATAGCAAAATAGAAAATACCAGCTGGGATAGCAATCATATTCCTAGATTGAGTTTGAAAAAATAGCTGATTTGAGGTCATAAGCTTCGGACTAGCACTAGGCCCCGCGCTAGCCCGGGTTAGCATTTAGGGTAGGGTCGGGTGACCCGGGTTTTTTGTGGGTCAGGTTCGGGTTCGAGTTCGGATTTCAGACCCGTTTATGTAATCGGACACGAAAACCCATTTTGACACCCCTGGTCGATGAGGAGAATTTGCACCTAGATGTGGCGGGGGTTTCCATGAACTCAGTGATTGGGTTTATACAAATCACACCATGAAGGTGAGAGGATATATAGGAGAAGAATCAGTGATAGTTTTGGTAGACAGTGGGGCGACCCACAATTTCATCTCCAACTAGGTGATGAATTGGTTGGGGCTAAAGCTGGTTGACACCGGCTATTTTTGAGTGATGATGGGAATGGGAAAAGTGGAAAAGAGTAGAGGCATTTGCCCAGGGCTGATGGTGATAATGTAGAAGATCCAGGTGAGGGGGGATTTCCTTCCCTTGGAGTTAGGGAGCACATACATAATTTTGGGCATGAAGTGGTTGCAGACCATGGGGGAGACCAAGGTAGATTAGAAAATATTGACTATGGAATTGATCATGGGAGGGAGGAAGGTGAGGATCGGGGGGATCCTAGTTTGTCCAAAATAAGGGTTTCTCTTAAGACCATGGTGAGGGCAATCTAAAGAGAAGAGATGTGATTCTTATTGGAGCTCCAGAGCTTTGAGGGAGGGGAAAGCATGGAGAAAGTGGACGAGGTTCTAGAGATAGTGATGAGGACATCGATCCAAGGTTCAAACAGGTGTATTGCCGGAAGCATCACAGATCGACGGCCACAATTCAGAGCTTATATTTTTAGTTATTTGCATTTTATTTTATGTATTCCTTTTGTACCCTTATGTTGAGTTGAGTCATGTTGGGGCCCTGAGGGCAATTTAGTCTTTATTTCTTCATGTTACTTGAGACCTATATATATGGGTCTTTTCTCTTGTAATAGATAATGAATATTTGAATGAAAAAATTTGAGTGTTTCTACTTCTTCTTCTTGCATGAGAGCTTAAGAAGGGAGAGAGCTCAAGGGGAGCAAATCACAAGGCCCACCGGTCGTTGGAAGAGTCCGCGGCTCGTGGTTAGGTTTTCTATCTTCTCCTTCATATTCACCTCCCTCTTCTTTCTCCTCCACCACAAGAAGACCCCTTCCTCTTTCCCAAACCCGCC